CCATTATAATTTCAAAAGAATCCTTACATAAGACTATAGAGAAAACTCTCATTGTAATATATTTATTCTCTTTGCGTAAAGCATATTGCCACAAGTCATGCTTTATATCTTTCTATATTCCCTTTGGAGTCACATTTTGTCTTGTAGATCCATTAGCAGCCTACTGTTTTGGCTCCATTAGAAATTACTTCTAAGTCCCAAACATCGTTGGTGCTCATTAAATTCATTTCAACTTTATATCTTTCTATATTTCCTTTGGAGTCATATTTTGTCTTGTAGACCTATTAACAGCCTACTGTTTGCATCCATTAGGAATTACTTTTAAGTCTCAAACATCATTGGTATTTATCGAATTCATTTTAACTTTTATAGCTTCTTGCCATTTAAACGAGTAAACGCTTTTTATGGCTTCTTCAAATGCGGTGGGATCACCCTTCATTTAAATTTCTTTACTAACATAGACTTCATAGTCATCAGAAAACTGATTTACTAATTCTTTGAGACCTTCTAGGGTCTCAGCTACTAGCACTTTTATATAGGGCTGTTGTTGCTCTTCATTGCCAAAAGAAAATGATTCTATAGGCTCCTGTATCACAAGATCCTTTTTTACATTATTCATCTTCTTCGAAGAGCTAACAACAGATGTTGTATTAGTCATACAACATCAACAGATATTTAGAAACTTGTTGCTCCTGAATCACTGTAGTGAGCACACAGTTCCTCTTCTCTTCAAGTCTTAGGTCTCAACATATCTCTACATACTATGCTCCCCTAGATCTTCTCATCTTTTCTAAAGATAGTGTATCTTCAAATATCTTATTTTGGGTTTAATCTGTTAAAACCTCATATGGTGCTTTAAGCACCACCTTAACATCTTTGAGGCTGACTACGCTATCTTCCTGTCGGAACTTTCAAAAGTCTAGAAATTTAGCTATTTCTCTGCTTAATGGTATCATTGTTGTGACAATTGTACTCCTCCAATGGTTGTATTCATCTTAATTAATCTTTAATTCTCTTGATGAAGAGTATCTTTCTTAATAGATCTTTATCTCATTCTTAATGAAGAGTATTTTTCTTAATTGATCTTAATATTCCCCCTCGAAATATGGCATGAACTTTACTGTCATAATTTTGAGAACTATTCAGAAAGCCTGTGAACGAGGAGACACTTGTAACTTACTTCATTCACACGATTATGTCATGTAAACAAAGTTATTTCTTAATCCGTTTATGAGCACACTTTTCTTATTTCACTTCAAGAACTCAACGAGGTCTTTCATTAGTTGTACTTTTATAAATCACGCTTGCATCTTTTCTTATCCTTTGGTTAGTATTGACCATGACGATGCATTTCTATTATGCCAAGGTCAATACTAGAACAGCATAAGAGCTACCCAAACTTCTCTCGCTATGCGGGATACAAAACATGTGAATCATCACAAAACTTCTCCTGTAATGCAGGATTGGCTAGCATAAGTACTATGCCAAAACTTCTCCCCATGCGGGATATATCTATACGAAAACTTAGTCATGACAACTAAAACATTCACTTATATTTTAATTTTCAATTAAATCTTCCTGTTGGTTATAATTTAATCAGAAAATTAGTAAACTAATAAAAAAATTATCCTGAACTGGCTTGACTCAAGTCTTTTTCATACACATATCCCAGCATTGCAACCCGTTGGCATGCAGCCGAGTGATCTCGTTAGTTAAAAATAAAACATACAATATGCTTTTACATCAATTCTACATCACCGTTGGGCAGAAAATAGAATTAATGCATAAAACTCATAAATTAACTTGAAATCCATATAACTACTCTTCAAAATTAATTTCTCTTGTTGGTTCGAATTTAATTAGAAGATAATCAACATCATTACAACAGAAACTTGATAATGAAATACATTCTTTTAGTTCAGAAACATTTCTTGATCATTATCTACTCCCTAAAAAATTCACCACGTTGGTATAAAATTTATCAGAGATTTAAACTTCAAACTTAAATTCATTATAATATTGTCATCATCAACGTTGGTCAAAAAATGACAATACAATAATCTTACTTAAGTAAAACGGACTACTCTTCTAATTAAATTTTTTCCGTTGGTTCCAATTTAATTAGAGCATAAACATAATCATAATTTACTAAATATAACTGCTCTTCAAATTAAATTCTCTCGTTGGTTCAAATTTAATTAGAAGATAATCAACATTAAACTTTGCAGCAAAAACTTAAACATAATTGGTGAATTTTACCCACAGGAAAAATTCTCTTTGCTATTTTTTCTTTGAGCCATTAATCTATTTTCTAGGAAATAAACATTTTACTAGAAAAACAAAAAGAAAAAATGGAGTCATTTCTTCACTGTTGCTTGGCTCAGCGGCAAAAACCGGCCCGCAGCCCACGGCCGCTCTCTCTCTCTCCCGCACGCTCTCCCACGCTCAGGCCGCAACCTGGGCCTAGGCTAGGAAAGTGGCTCGGCGCTTGCGCCCGCCTGGGTCGAAAGCTGGCCCGTTCACTCTTGCACCGTCCAATCAAGATCGACGGTCACACGGCCTTCTCAGCGAATCAAAACCAATAGCGACAGCCGGCTCCCCAAACCCTAATGCATTCGCTTCTCCCTCTCCTACCTCTCTCAGCGTAGCCCTTTGACTCGAGCGCAGAGAGCCATCGGTCACTAGAGAAGGCAGAGGGGTGGCGGTGCCGTCGTCGGCGCGCGCGCCGCAGCTCACCGGCGCGGAGTCTATCCTAGAGTGCTCTGGTGAGTGGAGGACGGTGAGGTAAGCCTCAAGCCGCCTCCTAAGCCCTTCCCCTTTCCCCTTCTTCTCTCTGTATTGGGTCTTCTTCTATTCTTCTCGGAGCTGGTCCGATCTAGGGTTAGGGTTAGGATTTGGGTTACTGTTCATCTTCCCTGACGGGTTAGGGTTAGGGTTCAAGTATTTTTCGAAATCGAGACCCCCTTCTTACTCATTTTCTTTACCCGATTAGGGTTTAGGGATCTATGAACCCTCTGCTTCTCTTTTGTTTTGATCCGAACCGGATCTATCTCATCTACTTCTACACTGCTACCCCTTACATGATCTACACACTAGATCGATAGCTCTGATACCATTGTTAGGTGCTTAGGATCATCTAGCTGTAGATTAGAGGGTGAAATTGTTACTGGTTGATTCAAATTCGACCTAGAACATACTTCGGGAGAGGGAGACAGAGAGAGGGGGGAATGTAGATGTATCTGACCGTCAACTTTGGAGGAGGATGAGCCGTCCATGGCATAGTCGTCACGGAGGGTGTCGGGGTAGTGGAAGTAGTGGCGTCCCGACGGGGTGTGGACGTCCGGCGCTGTGCAGAGGCGGTGTTTGAAGGCTGGTGTAGCTTTCCGTTGCTCACAGCGCTCCTTCTAGATTGGACTAGGGTTAGATTCGGTGGGGAACTGGCGGCTATTGCGAACCTCGTCTATCGAGCCCCAGCTCCCACCTCCTTTACATAGCACTGCGCGACGGGGGCCCACCAGCCAGGAGAGCGGCTGGGCGCCTTCGATCGGGGCGCGAGTCAAGGGCCCAATTGGCCGTTGGGCCAAATTGGTGGAGATCATCCGGGTTGGTGTGCTGGCGTTCGACCCCTGCGCCTCGCCGCACTACAGGGTGGTTTGCTTCACCGGGTAGCTTCCTCGGGACGCCACCATCGAGGTGTTCGACTTTGAGTGCGGCGCGTGGCGGGACCACGAGGTCGACTTCGGCCTCGAAACCAACGCCATGTCGGCCACCATGCACTACTCCAGCGGTGCGCTCCACGTGTTGGCCTACTCGGGCCACGTCGTCCACGGTCACCACGCTCCCGGCCCCCGTCAGTTGTTGGTCGCGCGCCGACACTACCGCGACCACCTGCGGTTCGCGTCCAGCGATGGCACTCGCCTCAGGATCTGGGACCTCGAGGACGTGGTCCTCGGTGGCGTGTCTCAGCCCATCATGTTCTTGTTCATGGCGTTCCACCCCGAGCGGGAGCTGGTGTACCTTGGTCGCCGTGGAAGCTGCTGGCATTCGATGTGGTCGAGAGGCGCGTCAAGGAGGAGTTGGTGTTCGGATCGGAGAAAGACGGCACGCATCTCATAGAGGTTTGGTTGTTTCCGTTGGAATGGAGGTAGTCCAGAAACACGGCGATGGGAAACGGGGAGTGATGGGGACTCGAGGGCATTTTGGACTTTTTTCAACACAGTTTGACATCGTGAGATAGAAAAGTGGACAGAATGGTCTGTGCGAAAAAAAAGTTTAGGTGAATGGCACCTGGGTGCGTCCAAATTTTTTAGTGGCCTGTAAGGACCATCTTTTTTTAATGGTACAAGGGTAAAACCCTCATGTTTCATCTGTCTTTTCTTTTTTTTTATGTTATAAATATTGCATTCGAATGTTTGAAAAATAGATTAGGTGTTGTATATGGGATGCGCGTGGGAAGCAGAAGAGGGCACGAGCAGTCCCCGCCCGAGTGACATTGGGGCAGCGTGGACCTCCGCCTGTGCGTGGGCGTGGGCGTGGGCGATGCACACGCAGTCGAGGGACGTGTGAGCGGTGTGGACCTACACGTGGACGCGAGAGGAACCGACTACAGTCGCGGATATCCGGACGCAGATAGACGTCCGGTGTTAGGAGTGCCCAGCACCAAACCTACGGCGTCACCAGCGTCAGTCGTCAGAGCCTCAGAGGTCCGATCAGCGAGCATTCCTGGCCCTGGCCTCTCACGATCTCAATTCTCACCAGTCAGCTTCCGGCAAAGCCAGCGCGAGCGACCTGCAGTCTGCATCTACCCCCTCGTCCTCGAGATATTTTGCAATGCCTTCACAAATATCTCGTTGGCCCCCGCGGCACGGCGCCATCAGCAATCGCGGCGTCCCCTCTCGCGCGCGCGGCGCGCCATTATAGCACGGCGCACGGCACGCCTTCGGCCTCCCACTCGCTGCCCAGAGGACGTGACAGCGAGGAGGAAGAAAGGAAGGGGATCAATGTCGAGGCCCAACAGGAGCGACGCGCACCTCTCCGCCGAGGACGAGGCGACGCTGGAGGCCGAGGTGCGGGAGTACTACGACGAGGCGGCGCCCAAGCGCCACACCAAGCCCTCCCGCAGCGAGCACTCCGCCGTGTACGCCGACGCGCTCGTCCCGGACGCCGGCGGCAACACCCATCCGGAGCTCGACAAGTTCCAGGAGCTCGAAGCCCACACCGAGGTTTCTCCGTCTTCCCCCCGCCAAAACTCTGAACTGCAATAGGCACCTAATATAATCGGTGTTTCTTTCAGAGGTTGGTGTACGAGGGCGGCAATGTAGGAGAGAAGTTCGTGGAGACGGAGTACTACAAGGATCTCGGCGGCGTCGGCAAGCAGCACCACACGGTTGCCACGGCCTTCTTTTCCCTGCTGCTTCCAGTTCCATACTTCCATGCATGGTTCTGACCATGAACTGCTGCGTACTGCTATTTACTAATAACCTGCGAATCTGTGCAAATATCGCGCGTGCGAGCAGACCGGAACGGGCTTCATCAAGATTGACAAAGCTAAGGGCGCCTCGTTCAAACTGTCTGAAGACCCAAATGCAGAGGAGCGCCATGCTTCTTGCAAGGGAAACCCTGCTACCAATGAGTGGATCCCGTCAGCTGACACGGTAAGATTGGCGCACAGTTCCAGTTTATCCTATGCAGTGTCGGCATCAGTGGGCGTTCCTCCACTTTTCGTCAACGAGTGATATGGTTTCTACTCACGAACGCATCGTTAAGCAAGTAGCTGTTGCGTCCTTTCAGGTGTACCCGGCGTCAGACAAACCGAGCAGAAGCGACAGCTGAGCAATTGTATACCTCCAGCCATGAGAATTCAGACGAGTGCTTTCCGCCATCAGAATAAGGAACCATACTGGTTGTCCAAGATCAAGGATGCCCGTATCTTTACTATTCTGCGTCGAAATTCTTGTAATTTTTACTTGGAAAAAAGCGTGCTACGAGTTAGATTTCTGTGCTCTGGCTGTAAATGGCAAGGAATAAAGTTTTAATCATGGTTCAGCAGTCAATCAATTTCTGTGTTCTAATTCTAAGGCTCTAGAAACAATCAAACCTTCAAAATAAACTAAAATAAACTAGGTGAGAATTCTATGTCGTTTTGAAATTGCCTTCAACCACACCGAGCAGAAAGAGGTGGTAAGATTAGACCAATCACAGAAAGCAAGAACATGGTATTTATTAGAACTGGTCGAAACGGTTATTAATACACCCGTTCCCTTCGCTAAAAAATTAAGTCGAAATACTGTTTCGGCTGATTTACGGCGAGAGAAAAACACGGTTCCGGCTGAAAAAATAAATTGAAAAAGACGGATTATAAGAGAAACAAACAGGCCATATCGCTTTGTTCTTCCCCGGTACTTTCAACGAACCAACGGTATTTTTCTCCCGCGACATTTCAGTATAAGCAGCGGCGAAAACCAAATTTCAGTGAAAAGAACATGGCCTTACCACGAAGCAGGTAGAAACTGCCTGCTGGTAATCGATTGATTTAGGCCTTCACTTCAAACACGCTACTGGTAAGCAAGATAGACGAGCATCTAGTATACGGATCAGTCCTGGTGCGTAGAGGCCGCCGCGGCGTCGGACTCGGTCGTCCGCCGGACGCGGAAGCGGGCGAGCTCGGCGTCGATACGGCCGGTGAGGATGAGCACGAACATGCGGTAGTCGCAGATGAAGGACCACACGGGGTGGCCGAACGTGGCGGGGTGGTTGCCCTCCACGAAGAAGTGGCTGTACCACGCCATGCCGTACCCGAGAACGGGCGCCGCGAGGAGGATCGCGGCGCGGCCAATGGCGGCCGCGAGCACCGCGCAGGCGAGCGAGGCCAGCGTGCCGAGGAAGTGCCACCGCCGCGTGCCCGGCTTGGGGTGCTGGCTCAGGTAGAACCCCCAGAACTCCTCCATGCTCCCGAGCTGCTGCCTCGTCACCGACGCCTCGCCGCCGCTCCTCCCCCATCTGTACGTCGCGGTTGCAGTCCCTGTCCCTTCCGCTCTGCGCTGCGCTGCTTCACAGGCCGCGGTGCGTTGCCTTGGTGAGACGTGCACGTATACCTACCACTTGCTGCCCACTGCGCAGTCAGGCACTCAGTGCAGGAAACTACGATGAGTTTCTATAGCATAGCACAGGACATCCTACTAAAAAAACTATCTTTTTCCGTGTAATATTTTCTATAGCATATGAGATAAATAGTGATAAAAATCATATTTTACTCTTTCAATGCTGTTACAGTAGTTTCTTGTCATCGATACCGTGAAGACCAATTTTGTTAGTTAGACTTAAGCTCTGTTCGCTTCAACTTATCAGCCTGGTTTACCAGTCATGGTACGGTGTTTTTCTCTTAATAAAATAGTGTCAGCCGATTTATCAGACGTAGAAACATCAGCCGAACAGCTCATTAGTCTTGGATTTATTCTCCCTCCTCATTAAATCACTTACAACATCAGTAAATTGTCTACATGATAGTACAATTAATATCTATACAAACTACTGTAATTTCTGCATTGAGAGTGCACTCTCCGTTATCCTGACCGGCTATTTTGATGCAAATCGCGATCAAGGAGTTCGGCAGCAAGGGAGCATGCTGGGGACAGGCGAGCAAATAAATGCTCCGCCTTGTGCAGGGCGACACGGACCCGACAGGGCGACATTTCCAAAGGCAAATGGGTAAAATGGCCAGGAGCATGGCAACATTAGCGCAGTTCCAATTCCAACTCATGCTTGCTAAGGTAGACACTAGAAACCATATTTTCAAAATAACTTTTGGTCCAATCACGTTCTTTGTCCATCATCTACCGATGGCCCAGTTCGCTGCAGCAGGTTTTTAAGTGATTTTAACTGCTGCGAAACATTGTAGCGCGACTGGAAAAGCGGCAGCCGCGAACAGGGCGCCGTCATAGATCGAATAGACGATCAGACAAGTCAAGATTTTAGCATTATGTTGGTGCCGTCCCGGACTTCGGTACCAAGTTTTAGCCTGTTGGTCTTGAACAAAACTGCGGCTTTAGATCAATGATAGGAAAAGTCGTAGAGTAAACAAACAATGTTGCATGTGAATTCACTATTGTATTGTATACTCCATAATCCATCCGGAAACAAATATACACAAGATTAACAACACTACTTCACAGAATCACGCCATACACACGACCAAAATAATAATGGTCAAGAGCGGGGAAATGATGCCTCTACAATTTGACTAAAATATATATTGCACAACATGAACTGTAGACGACGAAGTTGCCTTCTTGAACACAGACAGCAGCAAAATGGCACAGATGAACGGTTAACCTCTAAAGTAAGTGTCCACCTTAGCAAAAAAAAAAAAAAACAATCAATTGAATGAACTCGTGGTGTGGGTACAGACAAATCAACACCCAGGAACAGCGTTGCAGCATCATACGAACCCCAAGATGATTGGATATGACATTCCACAAGGCCATGTGCCTATAAGACGTTAGGGGCACAAGTTTATGCAAAGATCTCTCAGGAGCATTCCCACGTGCCATTTTTAAGCTCATGAACTCCAAATAGCTTCCACAAGTGTGGGAAACGATACACACGGCTGTTATCATGAACTCACATATAGAACAGGAACCAGACCTGCCATCTTTCCATCCCTTCCAGGCCTCCTTTTCTTCACCTGGGCACACAAAAATAATCGCCAACTTTAAATTCTGTTCGTTTGAAATCAAAGACAAGTAAAATCTATGGTGAGCTGGGAACTTACATAATACCAACCATCGACCTCATATTCAATTTCCACTTCTTCTCCAGTGATTAAACTCAGCTGAAAAACAAAACAATGTACATGAATAATGAATAAACGTGTTAGAGTGCAAGCAGATTCAACCCAGATCACCATCTATAAAAGCTGGTGCCACACCAGGCCACCGGAACCCACAATTAACCATGGCATTGAGCCTAAACCCTAAAGACTAGCTTGATGGGTGAGGGTCCCCCAAAAAAACAATTTCCAACTTGGGACTGAACCTAACCAAGTGTTCTCTTGTTTTCATTCAAAATAAAAGAGGTTTCTTTGTCTTTTTTTGGAGATATTTGACACTGAACTGGATAGTTAAAATAATACATTAATAACAATTATTTCCCAATAGTAAAGACAGTGAATCACTTATAAACATCTTTTACCCTGGGACAAAGAAAGACTTCAGAACCAACATTCCATCAAGCTCTGAACATGGAAGGATTACTTCAGGAATTTACAAGACAAACAGCAAAAATGATGGCTACCCTCGTACCTCATCATCACCACCTGCTGTGAAGTCATACAAAGCTTTCCCAGACTGAGGGTTACCAGAACTCTTATCTTCATCCTCATGGGATCCGAAACTTCGTCCTCCACGCCCTGAAAGGGGATTTTCTAATGACTCCTTCCTCTGTAGTACTGACGTCGAATATGAAGGTGGTTCTTCACGTATCTGAAACAAAGGCAAACCTATCAGGAACCATATCCATCCATTCTGTAAAATGGTTTTAAATTGTACAGTACAATGTCAGCTTTGTATAAACTCAGACAACAACAATGTTAAGTAGACGTGTTTTCTAGCACCCCCTCCCCTCCACAACACGAAAGAAATAAACATAGCATAGATGCAGCAGAATATACCGTTTGTTGTGTGGCCCCATGGCTTGACGGTTTTGAACTAAACAGTGATGGATAGTTCATGCCTCCAAAATGGGACGATATGGAGGTTTCAACAGAACCAGTTGATTCGGGAGAGGATCCACCAGAGTACCTACCATCATCTTCCTGCAATGAATGATTAGCTAAGCTTAACTATCTGTACACATTTAGGAAGCATGTGTAGCAAACTACATTGAGCATGTGTAGCAATACTTACCTCTGCGTCGTATGTTTCAAGAATTGTCTTAGCCCACATATCATCATAGCCGACTGATGGCCTCGAGTTCATGTATTCCTCATCATCCACATCAGGAGCATCAGTTCCAGCACCGGCAAGGAAGTCCTTTACCTACAATTCAATCAAACAGTCCCAATGACAATGGCTAAAAAAAAATTGTTGCTCCCAAATTAAGCTCATTCAATGAAGAAAAGGGTAATTATCCAGAAATGACTAAGAAATGAAGTTATCTTCCTTTTTCATAGAAAAAAACCATTTTCCTAAAAAAATAGGCCTCAAACAGGTAGAAAGCCGATACATAACAGTAGTGATTTACAAAACACAACAAAGAATCTTACTTTATCCACAGCTGGAGCATTGTTTGCCCAAACATCGTCTTCCAAACCTGCTGCCCAGGCCATTGCCAGATCGGGATCGATCCCAGACTGGACAGTATTGGTCTCTTTTTGTGCTACTTTGGACTCATACATAAGATCAGATATTCCAGTGGCAACAGCAGGATCACTTAGACCACCAGATGCACTTATGTTATGACGGTTGCGGTAGATCTCAATTAGTTTGGCACTGTCCATACAGTTGAACATACTTAATATCAAGAGATAGGATACTAACAAAATAATGTATCCCAGCAAAAGAAATAACAGGAGGCATCCATTTATGCACAAGCGCACAGGAACTATTAGAAAAATGTTGATTCTTGTGATGGATTGCTTTAACATGCACGATCAACTAGATACATTTAGATCAAACTAAGTAGGTAAATTAATACCTGCTTAGTTTGATTCAAATGTATCTAGTTGACTGTAAAAGAATTTTAGCTAGTTATATTATATCAATAGGGCCTATTTTTTGGCATACTTCCAACAACATGGACCAGAGCCTCTGGACAGAGGAGCACACCTAACTGAAAGTGATCCAGACTGATCAGGTTAATGTACCTTTCATTTATTGAATGACACAAGGCTCTAGACATCATTTGTGACTGGTGAACCGAATATTTAGTTCTTAGACAATTTTTAGCAAGAAACTGGTCCTAGTTCAGTTGGTGGGCGGTGTGGATGTACACCCCCACCAACCAGGTTCAAGTCCTTTTTCTTATTATTTACAATGCCGCCTAGTTCCTACTAGGTTGGTCAAGTTTTTCCTTAGGCAATTTCAGCAACGAAGTAAGATTTCAAGTCAACAATAATTTTATCTACTCCCTCCGTTCCAAATTATAAGTCGCTTTGACTTTTTTGGTTCATCCATTTTGCTATGTACCTAGACATATTATTATATCTAGATGCATAGCAAAATGAATGTACCAAAAAAGTCAAAGCAACTTATAATTTGGAACAGAGGGAGTAGAAGATGACTGCCCTTTAATGATTACAATAGTACATACCTGGTAGGACCAAGGGGCAAGTATTTAGCCCTTGGAACAAAACAGAATAAGGAAACAAAATCAAGAAGCCTCTCATGGGTTTCATAAAGTTTCTTAAGTTCCTCATCACTCCATTCCTGTTTGCTATTATCATGCTGGCGAATATCTCTGCAAAAATAAGACAGAAAAAAAGAATAAAAAAATGAGGCCACCTCAAGACCTTTTATAGAGCAACCATGAGGAATTTTAATGTCAAATATACCTGGCAAGATCATCTTGAGCTCTATACATTTCATCTAGGACCTTAAGCATTGGGCTTATTAAAGATCCAAGACCAGTACCACTGGCACCTTGATTTTCCCCATTACTTAGCTGCAATTCTGAAAAGTTTGACTGCACACCCCCAAGAGCCAAAGCATGAAGAAATTCATATATCTGCAGTCTATAAGGTTCACCAGACCTTATTGCAATGGTAGTTAGGGCTTGGACAGCAGCAATACGGATCTACAAGTTTAACAGTACAATCGAGAAAAAACAGAAAGGCATCAAATAAGATGTCATACTATCTCACCCCATATCGCCAAGTATTTGTAAACAATAAAGAAAAGGAATAGTCCTTTGCAAACGGCCCTACCTCCCAGCTTCCACTAAATGCACACCTTTGAAGCCTCGTCAGAGCGCTAGCAAGTGTAGGATTACGGAGCTTGCAGCAGCAACCATTTTATCAGCATCTAGCATCATTAGTGCAGTACCAGGTGGCGCTATGGACTCCCAGGCATACTCTCAGATGCAGCATAATTAGCGTTTTCTCCTAGAAACCAAACCTGATAGTTGACAGGCCAAACATCAGTTTGTTGTTGTTTCAAAGTCAAAGCTCAATTTAAAATTAACCAAGTGGAAATTTTGTTCTTACAGCAGCTTGAACTAATCTTTGGAGTGCCATTGCAGATTTTGGATCAGAGGCAGATACCATATCAACAGAAGTGAGTCCAGACATTGAACCAGGCTGTGGTGGTGGCAGATCAAGAACTATAGTCACAGCTTCCAAGGCTGTATGTTTCCCATCTGGTCCTGCTCCTACAAGGCATGTCTGGTAGGCAAATTTTGTTTTTTTATTATTATTTGCATGGTCATTCTAGAAAAAAAAAGTAAAACCACTGCCAAACCAACAACATCAAATGTAGTAAGAAACTAATGGTTATATGCATATACGCAAGTACATGAAAGCTTTGCATAATAGAATTGTAGATGGTTCAAAATGCTATTGAAACTGCTTCACGAAAAAAGGTCTATCGCTCTACCTTCCATAACAACTGTAGAACATCAGCATCAATCTTTCCAGGAACTTTAGTGGCAAAAATTCTTGCAATCTCAAGCAGAGTCACAGCCATATCAGGGGTTGCCTATCATGTAAGACAAACAGAAGAATAAGTCAATCATGCAATCAGGTAAAGGGGAACATACTAATAAAAATCAGAAGGATAAGTGCAAGAACCATAAAAAACAATGGGAGCATGAAAAGGAGATAGAAAAATTACAAACAAATTTCTGAAAAGAAATATATCCTATGTCCCGATAAAAAAACAACATAAAAACGCACCATCATTTTTAAAAACAATGTTACTTTTAATCATTAAACACTCAATGCCACTACAGAACAATTGAATCTGCTTCTAATCATGTTCAAGAAAATATGCTTGCAATCTGAAATGTGATTTGACTATTTGAGGCACAAGCAGATAATAAACGGATTAAAATGGCAAAAATGAACAATGTACTGAGAATAATGTCAACAAATTTAGAACTATATATATAGTATAAACACTGAAAGGGATCCAATACCTTGAACCTAGCATGTAAGGTTAGTAGGACATCATTCAGGAGAGAGGAAGGCCAGGCTGGGTCAGACAGCTCACATGCAATGATAGATTTTAGTTCTTCAAAAGATTCATGTGGATTTTGCATCCATATCAAAGCTTTGATGACCATTGCTCGAACATATACACACTCGCATGCTACTGTTGTCCGCACAACTTCCATTAGTGATGCTAATAATCCTGCTATTGTGTCCATTCCACCATGACCATTGGATAGCGGATTAGGCTTTCGGGTAGCTACAGCATAAACATGGAAAAGTCACATAGTTGCATTAAAAAGCATTGCATAGTCAACTCAGTGTGAAATTAAATGAAAGATGTAGGATTTTAGTTAACACTAAGAGTACTTGAATGTGTAAACATATATTTAAAATCTATGATAACATCAGCAGAAGGGCAGGCCTGGTGCAGTGGTGAGAGCTGTCTCACTGAGTCACCAGGTCGTGGGTTCGAAGCAGCCTCTCCGCAGATTTTGCGGGGGAAAGGCTTGTCTCGGTTTATCCCTTCCCCAGACCCCACTCATGTGGGAGCCTCCGGCACTGGGTCTGCCTTTTTTTTTATGATAACATCAGCATACCTTCAGCCATTGGATTCTCAAGATCAGAATCAAGAGATTCAACATCAAGACTGGCCCCCTCATCATATGCACCTAAAGCAAATGCAGCTGCTCTACTTTTGCCCATTTCCTGAACTACTCTTGCAGCAGCATGAAGAACCGGACGAGAGAAGCTACGGAATGAGCTCTCCAATCTGAGAATAAGAAACAAATAATAAAGCATCCATGACCAGGGGCTGCGCAAAGGAATCAGGAGAGATCAATCACTTGTGCAGACTTAAAAAGGTGCAACACACCTTCTCATTACAAGTTTGATGAGAGGCTGAGGGCGCCTTGCTTTTGAAGATTTTTCACTAGATTTTGACAGAACACCCTTTGATGCTACAGAGGGGGCCTCTGGCAATTTGAGAATTTCTCTAGTTAACCGAATCCATCCACCAGCTCTGTCCTCCGTGCTGCAAGATATGATGATAATATAGTATACTTTGCATCATTAGTGACTTAGGCCCTGTTTAGATTCAAAGTATTTTTGTTGTTTTAGAAAAATACCATGGTTTTCTGAAATACTTTGGTTTTGAAAACTATAAGGTGTTTGGATGTAACAATCTTTGTAGTTTTGAAAACCATGGTATTGCCATATTGCTAAAACTATAGTTTTTGGAGGAGTTTTAGAAACTCCACTCTAGACCTCTTTTTTTCTACACCGTGGTTTTGTACATCTTTTGTTCTAAAACTAAAGCTTCTCAAAACTACATTCCAAATAAGGACATAAGCTGTTGAACAACAGAACAATATGCTATGCCTCTGCATCATTGTACCTTTCTGTGTTGTCACCTTTTCCCAACACACAATTTATGGCCTCAAAACAGACCCTGTCACTGGGATCCAGAAGAAGTTGATAAAGGAGGGAACTGTACTGTGACTTTATGTCAGGCCTCTCTGCATAAATTGTATATGATCAGAACCACAATTTGATGCATGCACCCTGATTTGTATCACAAATCACACATATAAATTCGGGTCAGGCACAAAACAATTCACTTACGATCCAATACGCGTGCTCTGGATATTGAATGACACAACTTTGCAAGGTAAACCCTGGCAAGGACATCATGCAAATGAAGAATGTCCTGAAGAGCTCCTGTTTCAGTTTGGAACAATGATATATGATATTGTACACAAATAAGTACATCAAAGTGAAAAGAAGAAACTCCAACATAACTGGATTTAACAAAAGAGGAAGGACTCAATTATATAGAATCTAAGAGGTAATGCCTTTTAGATAGAACTGGGAGAAATCGACAGTAGAATTGGTCACTGTAACCAGATATTACACAAAGTTATATACGATATTTATCCTGATATTATTTAGAGCATGTAATACTTGAGACACGGCCAAGAAGATATATTGCCCCCTGCATGTTACTTATAATCGGGTAGGCCAATGAGTAAACATATTTAAAGGCATAGTTGTGAAGGGCAGTAGGAACTGAGCCTAGCTCCGTTGATTGAGGGTGTAGATGTATGCCTAAACCACGTAAGTCCGAGTCCTCATTTGGGTGCTTGTTTTCTTCTTATATGATATAAAGCCACCTAGTTCCTCCTACGTTGGTCCAGCTTTTCTTTATGAAGAGCAGTTAGGATATTCACTTCTCCACAATACCAAAGTCCTTGGTATATATGTATTTTACACAAAAATCTTGATTCTTGTAACTCAAATCAAATGAAAACTAGAATTGCTTTGCTCAGCATTTTAAATAGAGTTTGTAGCAAACTAGTGACATAGTGTCAAAGCGTCAAAATATAGCTACCTATAGCTAATCTAAAGCTAGCTATTTAGAAGTTAGAACCTTGCTTTGCTTGCTTTCTCCTGAAGAGTGTATTGTTTGAAACATTTATCATGGACAGGAGAAAGATATAAATTATTAGCTGAAATCACTTTAGAATATGTTTGTGTTCAAATGATTAAAGACTAACAAAAAGATGCTTAAGGAAAAGGAAGCATACCACCGGGTTGTGCACTTTTGCCTGCATAAAATGAAGCCATACATGAGATTATAAACCACATAAATGGAATGAAACAAGACTCATCACAAATTGACTAAACATAAAAAATATCAGGATCACAACTGAACTCTACTGTTACATTTGGATTGTTAGTATTTACTGTTTTCAGTGCACGAAAGATCAACAGTATTCTAAACCATAATGGTATATGTTCTCTCTGCATGTCAATTTTTTTAACGTAATTTCTGCATGTCAAAATAAAATAGACAATGTGAACAATTGTTAGCAGTATGTGAGGAAACTGACCCAATGCCATTGCAACAGAGTATGGATCTTTTGCAGCAATTTCAGATATTATTGACAATGCATGTCTGACTGCAACTGGGTCAGAAAATTCAATCCTGCAGTTGTATCAAGTAAAATGACAAGAAAATGAATATGAAACAGTATGTTCATAAAGGGCGTACCCAGTGCAAAGAGCTCTCACTCTGTGCGGGGTCTGGGGAAGGGTGTCAGTGGCAAGCCTTACCCTCGCCTGTGCAATGCGAGGACACCGCGACTCGAACCCGGGACCTTCCGGTCACAGGCGGTAAGACTCTACCGCTTGCACCAGGCCCGCCCTTCAGTATGTTCATACATAAGTAAAATTTTGCATACATGGATCGATTTTTCATAGAACAGGTAGATGTTTGATCATACTTTTCATCCTGATAGATAGTTGAGTACAGAAATATGACATAAGAAGAAATGAATTAAAATCAGTAACTGGTTCAGAAGTCACATCAATATTGGTTTTTCTCACATTTATAAAGACAACCAAAGACAAGAAACCATAAATGCTTCAATCCCTTGTATTGAATAGTTGAGAACTTGTAAAATAAACAAGGTCCAGAATACAAGGTGGTAAAATTAGTTTTACAAACACATTAAGTCCAGACTCACCCTTGCACAGCTCGGTGGAGGAATGCTTGATTACCGGGATCAAGTGGAAGCCTTCTCAGTGCACTCAGAGAAGCATATTGCAAATTACCACGTATGATAGACTGTGCAAATAAAATAAAAGTGTCACAAGGTTGAGTTCAGAACATAAGACTCGCAATATTCAGGTCAAGTAAACTAAGTTGGCCCATCATCTTAGCCAGATAATAGTGAGCTGCAAGTTTAAGTGCACACTGTAGCAATTGGTGCTTTTTTAATGCTTATAATTAGCAAGGTCAACAATGGTAATATCCAGACACCGTAAGATAGTTCATATTATATACAAACAGGAGTACTTAAAAGCACCAAAACTAAATGCACATTCTTGAAACGAAACAGCACCTCCTTATCACCACCTTGCTTAGTAAAAATACCCTTCTTCCGTTTTTGTTTAGTATCTGCTACCTGAAAGTATCCAGATATATCATGGAGAGAACACTGTCAACTTTAGTGCCACAGACCAGGGAAACAGAAAAGGAGCTATGAAAAGTAGTTTAAAGACTAATGTAACTGTACAAAGAACAACTGAGATTATGGATGACCAACCTTTTCCAAGGTGCCAAACACAATTTCATTTAGCTTTTCCATCATCTCAGAACTGCTAGTGGAACAGGAGGTAAGGGCCTTCAGAGCAGCAAGTCTCCGTGCATGAACTTCAAAGGACCAGCATCCATAATAAAGAACAATGAGGAACAAAGCGACGACATTCAACAAGGAATTAAAAGGGAAAGGACTAAAACATTAATTGTTTTAGATTGGCCTAGAAACTTTGTCTTGCTGTGCCTTTCATCATGACACTGTGAAACTCTTATTGCTCACAACAAAGATGTTCAGATTTCAAATTTCAACTAAGGTATTTCATAAATTTGATCGTATAGTTGATTTTCTTATGCAGGACTTGCCAGGAATATACGTTCTTATGATAATGCTTCAAAAAAATCCAAGAGGAAACCAATTCCCAACAAGAGAATAAGAAAATAGATCATGAGTTAGGTTTGAAAAAAGTAAGAAAATAGATCATGAGTTAGGTTTGAAAAAAGTAAGCAAGAAATGCAGGCAAGTAACTTTGGTTCAATTAAGAAGCAGTCCCTGTGAAATATTCAAGTTTTTTAATAAGTGGCAAAATGTACGATTAGAAATACATTTTTCATACTATAACTTTGATATACACTGAGATAGTATAAAGGCATACACTCAACATCGTCACTGGAGGATTCCGCTGAAAGCTGATCAACTATTCTCGGTACAACGTCTGCTCGTGTCACTCCCCCGACAGCATCAATGTCCGCAAGAGCGTCCCAATTGGGTGTGGGTATGCCACCAGCAGCACTTAAACCCTGGGAACCATTATCTGACAGTATACGGGCCAGATAGTAGTATACATAGCGCAGAACATTTCTGTCCTCGCATTGCTGATGGAGCTGCAAACGCAAAGGAGAGTCGAAGTAATGAGGGAGAAAAAAATACCTAAAGTAGTCAATAATATCGAAGGTTATCATGACCATGGTCAATGCTAAGTATATGATTTCTGTACAACACATTTATTTAAGTACCTAATTTCTGTTCAAGGCATGCAAAGGTGTGAATCAAGTTAACCAAAACTATACTTTAACACGCGCCGTTATGGTGCTATCATAGCTGGCGCGAATCTGTGACTGATCTAAGTTCTACCTACACAACTTAGCAACAAGCAGTCGAGGAAGGGCACAGGAAAAGCTTACCATGAGAAGAGATGGAGCCACCGAAGGATCCACGGAATTGTACACAGCAAGCTTGGGGAACACACTGTTTACAAGCTGCCTCTGGGAACTTTTCTACAAAAGGCATAACAGAAGAGCAGATAAAGTTAACAGATCCAAGCTAGCATAATGCAATTATAACCAAAGTACCAAACCGAAGCAGCAGCCGGACGAACCTGGTCGCACGTCGCGGCGAGCTCGTGGATGCTCCGGGCCAGCTGCGCGTAGGAGACGGGCTGCACGAGAAGCATAAACTACAGCATGAGACTGGAATGCGAATGAAGAGAGGATGAAAATGATGCGGGGAGAGGGGGAGGGGACGCGCCTTCTTCTTCCTGTTGCGCTGGGGCAGGACCTTGACGGGGTTAAGCGCCTTGGCAGCGGATATGGTCTCGTTCTGGATCTGCGTCAGCGTCCCCTTCTTCGACTTGCGATCCGCCGGCGGCGCCACGGGCTTCCCCAACAGGGAGCCGCCAACGCTGCCGACGCCCGAGGAGGACTGCTGCTGCGACGACGCCCCGGCAGTCGAGGTGGCCGACGGATCCGAGGTGATGAGATCCATCAGCGTGGTGCCCGACGAGTCCTGCCCGGAGGCCATGGTCGCGAAGCGAGGGGCCGCGCGAGTGGGAGATCTCCGGCCGCGCGGGAGATCTCCGGCGAGCAAGGCTTGTCTGTCTGGTGGGACTTTTCGGGTCGGGTTGCACGGGGCAGGGGCGGTGAGCCGAGGGACGGAGGGAGATGGTGTGGATTGCTGGATCCAACCGCCAAGCTGGATTTTGGCATGCGTTTGCTCGAGACCCGGTGGGACGGGATGGACAACGGGAATTGCCGTCTAGGAATGGCTCCTCATCTCTGTCCTCGACTACTCGTGGAGGAAAAAAAATCTACTCACTCCATTTCTATTTACAAGTCATATTAGGTTTATATCCTAAATCAAACATTTATATATCTTTGACAATTTTCCAAAAAACAATATAGATTTATGACATGATATTTACTCTCTTCGTTCCAAAATAAATGCACATCTCACCTTATCGATGAGTCATTTTTTTTTCTAAATTTGACCAGGTTTATATAAAAAATACTAATACTTATGATGTGTAACAAGTATACTATTAGATTGGTTGTGAAATATAATTTCGTAATAAACTTATTTGAAGCTCTAGATACTTAGTTAAATTCAAAAGGAGATTGATTTCAATAAGCGATGTGTGCACTTGTTTTAAGATAGAGAGAGTATGTTTTTAGATTTATTATGAAAAATACTTTCATAATATATAATTCATATGTTATAAAACTATGAGGATTTTTAAACTGGATGGCTAAAGATATAAATATTTGACTTAGGACAAATCTAGTATGACATATAATAAAATACGAAAGGAGTATTTCTATTCTCGTGAAAACTCCCACGAAAGGTTTTTGGTCCCGTCTACATCCCTGCGCGTGGGATAAACTTCACGGAGATCTCATCTCCACTTTGATACATCTCGGAATTATGTGACAATTCAAATTTAACATGAAAGTAAGTAATATTTTTTTTTTTTACCAAGTGTATAATTGATGAACTACAATATGCATATATAGCCCTACACTAATACTTTAGCACAAATACACGCAAAACTACATACTACACAACAATTAAATCACAAATTTTGGTGATATATAGGTGCTTATATTTAAAAGTGGGACATGATACGGGATCAGAGACGGGGATAGAGAACCATCACGTCTCCACGGAGCCCCGTCATGATGTCATTTCCCTCTTTTAAATCCTAATAGAGGAGAATGGGCCACGTACCCTAGTAAACACATGTTTGGAACGTAGGAATTTCACGTGATTTACATAGAAATTCATAGAAATCAGTTCAATTTTACAGAAAAAACACGAGAACAGTGAAAAAAATCATGTGTTACAAACAGAATCTAAAAGCATCTCCAAGAATATCTAAAATTTAGTTTCCAAAATCCCTAAGTTTTTGAAGTCACCAAAAATAATTGGGAGTAACAATGGAGGGTCTCTCTAATAGTTTCCAAAAAGTGTCCCTAAATCACACAGGTTAGCCTTGGCATCAGCACTATGAGGAGCATCCTTCGTCTTCTCCGTTGTCTTCCTCCTCCGGATGCATCTCACCATCTTCTGATACAAGGGCACCAAGAACCTAAACAATATCCACCTGTGTTGCTTCCTGCATCTCCTGAAAGATGGTAACCTGAGTTTGGCTATGCTGAACACTGTGCCCCTCGCACTCGCGGTGGTGGTCTCCGTGTCACAACGAAGATTGGCAAAGAGTTATGGGACACGGACGGGGCGGCGGGTGCCGCTTGCTTGTGGTCGCAGAGGCTATCATCCTCTAAGACGAGTCCAGCCAGAGTGACCACGTGAGTACCAGGCGATGGCCATGCTGGCTCGCAAGATGCAGGGGAAGGAGCAGGCCATTAAGGAATATCTGGTCGACAATGGCCATTGAGGAATATCCGTGTGGAGGTTGTTTTTTTTAGTGCTAAAAGATTGGAACGTGGGGTTGAGAGTTAATGGTGATGTGTTTTTTCAATCTTGCTAAAAGTCTGTATTGAGAAAGTGTTTTGGGAACTCTTGGAGATGCTCTAAAGGAATTTCCCATGGAAAATCGGTGATCGGGGTCCATTGACATCCTAGGATGGACCCATCTCAAAACTTTACTATAAGAATGTCTTTATTTCTATTTCGTGTTTGGTTGCCGTAATAGATCTATCTATTTTTTTAGTCGGATGAATTTAGATAGATGAGATGGTATAGAACTTTAACACCATTATCGGCCGTTATCAGCAGACCCACTTGTCATCAGAGATCCCACGTATCATCCCTCCTTTAATTATTTATCTTTCGTTTTGCTCATCTTATCTTCTCACCGTTCTTTCCTCAGCCGCATGAAGCCAACGCTACTCGTTCCGTGTCTTTGCCCTTCTTTTTTCCTGCATACAAGCATAGGGCTGGATACCGAGCCAGCTCGGCTCGTTATGGCTCGGATCATTATACTAACAAGCCAGAAAAGTAGCTCAGGTCGGCTCGCTTGCTAGCTCGAGCCAGCTCGTTTGAGTTTGGTTCACTGGTGTAAAAGAGGAGAGAAAGAAAATCACCATGTTCTAGCCGAGCGTGACACATGAAGATTCATTGTGGCAACTCCATGGTGCAAATAAACACCAATAATCAACACAAGGAACAACAATCTTTCACCGCTCAAGAAAAAACAACAACAATCTTTACAAGAATCAAATACAAAATAGTTGCTAATCCCCAATCCAAAGAAAATACATACAAAGATCCAATATTGAGCTGGGCTGAGAGTGATACGGTCCGATTCCGGTTGCTGTCATATAAATTATCTTGGCTTTTTTTGGCTCACATGCTGGCTTAGCTCGTTTAAAAATTCAAATAAGCCGAACTCAAGTCGATTCACTAACGAGCGAGTCGAGCAACCACCACCTGCCCCTTACGGTCTGCAGCAGCTCGAGTGCCACCCGCCTCGAGCGTCATCGGTCTGGTGTCGCCGCCCTGCTCACTAGGTAGCTACCAGCTCCGTGCCTCTGGCTAGGCGCGGGCTCAGCTTGGGAAAAGGAAGCGTTGAAGAGGGAAGGACACATATTAATACTTTATTATTGATCTACATTTAGTTAAACCTAGAAATTTTAACTCACTGAGAAACGGGATTTAGGGAGGCTCCTCTGTGCTAAAATAAATTTATATCTCGTTTCTCAACATAAATTTGACTACATATATAAGTATTTAAAAATATAAATATTAATATTTATAATACAGAATACGTATTATATTTGATTGATCATAAAATATATTTTTATAATAAATCTATCTATAGAGATATAATTATTGATACTATATTGAATATATATCTAGTTAAACTTTAAAATGTTTGAGTCGAAATGCCACATTTATTTTGTGACGGGGAGCACGGATTGATGCCGTGCGGCGCCATGTGCGCGTGGTGCGTGGTGTGCGTGAGTGTTTGCGCCCAGCCGATTCAACCGCATTTGAGAAGAGTTTCGCGTCCGCCCCAATCCAGAACCTTCCCCAAGCACCCACCTGGCGCCGCCCAACGTCCATTTATTCACAGGCGCACTCAGGCCAACAGAAAGAAAAGGCCCAGACAGTGACGTGACCGACTCGAGGCGCAAGAGAAGGATCGAGACGAGGCGGCGGCTTCCCGGGGGCAGGATCGTCGCGGCCACGAAAAGTACAGCCCCCCATTTCTTTCGTGTTCTATCTATCAGACCATTCATATGATAGTCGCGCGGCGCGAGTTTGTGATGGTGAGGAAAAAATATCTAATTTTCTGTTTTAATTCTGTTGGTTATGGAGCGCATGTCTGATCTGATGGTTTTATACGCCACTGGAACTTTTACTCGTGATGTGTTTGTTTAGGAACATCTGAACGAAGGTTTACAACATTAGATCCATGGTCTGCCATCCTATAATTGTGATGATGCCATTACGAGTGAAAATTATTGGCTTATCCACGAGGTAGCGTCGTAGTGATAGAATTAGGGTTGGAGATTGGTTGATCTCATGTCGGTGTTTGATTGAGGTTGAAGACGTAAGATGACGGAAGAAATTGAACTTAAAATGTGCAGCGTTTTGTTTTGGTGTTAAACTTATGTTTGGAGGACCAAATTAAATTTTGAAGCGCTAGCTATAGATTTTCAGAAAGGTGTTTAATTGGCCTACATCAGTCATTATGGTATTTTCCTAACAATTGATTATTCAATATTGAAAGGATTTTTCATGCAAATAAACTTTATCTTAAAACAAAAATAAAAGATGTACTGGGAACAAACTCTGTATGTTAGGGTTGCAATGTATGGTGCACTTTCTGGACGAAAGTTATGTGGAAAAAGGGGATTAAAAGGGAAGAACCAATTTCCTTCAGAAGAAAGAGGTAGAAAGGGTGGTTATAATTCATTGCTTATCAGTCGACTCGTGATACATCAGCTAGCAGCATGAGAAAGTTATTTAATTAGAAATATCTGCGTTAATATATTATGCATGTTCTGTGATAAATTGACAAATTTGGATTCTTTCTGTAAGCTGTTCACTTTCTTGTGTGATATGCAGTGACAGAGTGTTTCAGAAGTTCATTCAGTTTTATTTTAGATATGTTCACAAAGTCATCATCTATTAGGCTGTATATTTGAATGCTTGTTGCAGGTGTTAATATATTTATCTCTTTGTCTTGCAGACGATGTCTTACTCAAGAGGATCAAGGTAGGCACTATTTTAAAACCTTGAACAGCCTACTATCTAAAAACCTTGAGCCTTGTTTCGATTTGTCTTCAAATGATCTTGCTCGGTGTTGTGATAGTTTTTTTTTTCAAGTGAAAGGTATGGATCTCGCTCACCTTACCGAGAAGCAGCTATTCAAGGTACAGAAGTCGCTCTAGGTATGCCTTTTATCCTTGGGCCAGTTAATGTGTTTCTGCCAATGTCATATGTTTAAAGTCTAGACATCAAACATCTATGTTGCTTGTAACCCGAGGAGTATTTGATAGATCGTATAATTTATTTAGGAGTGTGGACTCAAGTGATGCTGAAAACCCTGGGAACAACCTGTATGTGACTGGTTTGTCAGCTCGTGTAACGGATCGAGATCTGGAGAAGCACTTTTCCACCGAGGGAGAGGTAACATTCATAGAAAATTTCTGCAACTTTAAATTGTCATTTCTTACTGATTGTGCTATAGGTGATTGATGCAAGCATTGTGCATGATCCTTGGACAAGGGAATCACGGGGGTTTGGTTTTGTTACCATGGCTACTGTTAAGGAGGCAGATCGCTGCATCAAATATCTGGACCGTTCTGTGTTGGAAGGTCGGGTCATAACTGTTGAGAAGGTAAAATCATGAGATTGGGAACATCTGAACTTCCTTATTTAACTTTGCTACTGAATGATATTTATATCATTGCTTAGTACTCTACACTGAACATTTTAGTGTTCTTCTGTCCATTGAAGATTTTGTTGACAGCAACAGGGTAGATGTTGGTAGCTGCTCTGCAACAAACTGATACAACCTAACACCAAACCATGCCACCTCAGCCAAAGGGTTGTATGCCCTACATTGTATATTATTATTTTTCTTAAATGTGTTTATTCAGATTGTAGATAATTACTTTCTTGCTTTTGGTATCAAAGACACTTTCTTATCTGGTCCCCTATTACACAGGCAAAGAGAAGACGAGGTAGAACCCCAACACCTGGGAAGTATCTTGGCACAAAATCATCACGTGGTAAGTGTTTTCATGAATTAATCACCTATAATCATTGGATGTCTTTGCCCCCATTTTCTCCCAGAGAAATATAAGTACTGTAATTTTTTTTTTGATATAACCTGTCGTTATTGACAATTTTTGTTACATGATGACATCAGGACGGAGGTACTCCCCAAGCTACTCACCTGTTAGAAGGGACCGTTACAGTTCCCGCTACTCGCCTGATCGGAGGGACCGTTACAGTTCCCGCTACTCACCTGATCGTGACCTGTCTTATTCTCCTTATGGTAGAGGCTGGTCATACTCTCCATATGACAGAAGGCGATCATACTCTCCTAACGGCAGGCATGGATCATATTCCCCCTACGATCGGCGGCGATCACACTCACCTTACTACAGAAGCCGGTATCGTTCAAGGTCTCCATACTGCTACAGAAGACGGAGGCCACCTTCTGTTTCGCCATACTACAGCCGGCGCTGGTATAGATCCGTCTCCAAGTCACCCAGTGTTTCTCCAAGGGCCAGAGGGCGGAGCTATTCCCGCAGTTTATCACCACAGAGAAGCTACTCTCGCAGCCATTCCCCAGAACCGGAGAGATCAACGAGCTACTCTCCTAAGAAAGGGAGTAGAAGGGAACCCTCACGTAGCAGATATTCTGGCAAGAGGCGTCATTCAAGGGAAAGCTACTCTCATAGCCGCAGTTCGTACTCCAGGTCTATGTCTAGGGAGCGCTCGGCTTGATCTGCGAGGCGTATCGTCCTAGGTGGTGGTTATAAGATATGCCCTGTATCTGTATTTGTCAGAACTGATGTATTTTCAAGGTCATTACTCTGGTATTGTGGACTTGAGAACAGCATGGATGTGTGCATTGTACTATATTATGTTCATTTTGTATGAGACAGTGATAAATTTCTGATGCTATCTTGCTATTGTTGGTTCTTTCTTGGTAATTTAGTTACTAAATCTGGCGATATGTGGGGTCGTGCAATAGAGCTGAATATCATTGTAAGATATTGCCCTGTTCGTTTCGCTAAAATTTGGCTTACGATGACGTTTATACTGATTTGTTGTGAGAGGAAAGCTTTCCTCTTCGCTGGAAACATTTGTTGTTTTGGGAGATTGCATTCGTGTCTTTGGGAGAGAAGAATAACGCGACCTCAATCTTAAACATCTAATCATCCATGACAGTTGCAGCTAGGAAAGAAATCCCCTATCCCCTGCCATGCTCAATATTTTCTTCCTTGGCTAGTAAAAGAGGATCCTGCAAATCTGGTGACCATACATTGAACAGACACCTATTCCAGTAACTCCATGTATCCATGCCCTAGAGTGGCAAAGCTAGAGTTGAAATGAGGGGTGCAACACTTCAATAGTACTATTGTTCTTCTAAACGGTCAATTAGTCTATTTAAACACTACATAAATGATATATAATGATTCATTTAGCCCGTTTAATTGACCGCTCAACCCAATCAATAAAGTTGGTCAAACTTTAGATACTTACACAAAGAGTGCACCTAGAATTGCATTCTTTTGTGGATATGGAGGTAGTACTTGGTAAAATTTGGTTTTTCTAAAGCAATAATCATATTTACATAAACTTAAATTTAAAAATAAAGGGAGGTATGCAAAATCTATAAAGGTGTATATTGAGTTCAGAAGCTTAGATAAAAATTATTGCTAATATGTGTAGAGTTTAGGTATAGAAAATTAGATGCTATCGATGGTATCGGTGTTTCGGACCGGGGGTTCCTCAACCAACTAGTGAATGTGAACTGCGTGCCCCTAATCCCGGATGGTGATGCAAAGAGACACAAGGTTTATACTGGTTCAGGCAATCGGTGCCCTACGTCTAGTCTGAGAGATCGATCTTGTATTCCTTGCACCGAAGTGCTTGTAGTAGGGGGTTACAAGCTGGGCGAGAGAGGGAGCTAGTCCTAGGTCTCTGTCGTGGAGCGGTGCGGGCTGCTTGAGACGTTGCTCTCAGACAGCGGGGGAGCGTGTGTCCGAATCTACATGAGCCTACACGAGTGTCCGTCTATATCCCTTCTCTAGAAACGGCCCCGGTCTCTCCTTTTATAGTTGAAGGGGGGGACAGGGGTGATACATGTGTTCGCTATGCAGCGTCTTGTAAGCGGAGGTGGTGTGTCTGAGCCCTGTAGCTTATTACTGTGGCGACATGGTCAACGGAGCGGTTTTGTCCTTGATGCACTGGAGCAACGCGCCGGACACACCCGATCTTGTGCGACGTAGGAGCTCCAGTGATAGCTTGGCGCAGGGCATGGCCGACGACGTGCCGGTCGCTGTACGTTCACAGTGTAAAAAGCCAAGGCTCAGTTGGTGCCGACGCCGAGCCATCGTGGGGGGCTCGGCGGGCATGAATCCCGAGGCTGCCGAGACCCTGAAGTGGATTGCCGAGGCTTGGAGGGAGCAGTTGGTCCTATACACTGATTCCGAGGCTATAGTGACCCGGACTTGACTCCCCACGCCGCGCTGTTCCTGGAGCAGGAATTAGGTAGCACAGTGCGGTATGGGCGTCAGTTATGGGCACGAGGTCGGCACATGGCCGATAACCCCCGCCCGATCTGTCTCTCCCGTCCCATCGGCCACTCATTGCATCTTGCGACGACGTGTGTGCCGACGTTATGGGAGTGGTTGGACGCGTGACGTTTTGTTAGAGAAGTCGGTCGAGACGGAGGCGACGAGGTTGTTGCCGAGCCGGCCTTGAGCGAGTCGGAGAATCGGTAACCCGTCCGAGACCTAGCGGGGCGGGGTCTCGGGCGAGAGGGCCTCGGCGAGGCGGAGAGTCGGCCTTTCGTCCGAGGCCTTTGCGGTGTGGGCCTTGGGCGAATCGGAGAATCAGCCGAGACCTCGTGGTTGTCCTTTGGCCTTGATATTTGCAAGGCCTAAGCGATCTTTTCGGCTCTTGCTTAGGGTACCCCTTTTTATGGTATCCGACAGTAGCCCCCAAGCCTCGGGGAGAGTGCGAGCACTCTCCCTGAGGCTTTGCCGAGACTTGGCTTGCAGCAGCTCCCGTCGGGATTGTGTTTTGAACTCGTGGTTCTGGTGGGTGCGCGCGAGCGCACCCGTCGGGTGTAGCCCCCGAGGCCCTGGAGGAGTGGATTTACTCCTCTAGGGGCTTTTTCTCTGTTAAGGAGTTTTATCGTGTTTGCCGGGCCCATGAGTGTGAGTTCGGATCGCTGGACCTTGGCTTAGTTGCAGGAAGAGCCCCCGAGCCTCTGTACTGAGCGAGAGGGCGATCAGTGGTTTTCCTATCTTTTTTGGTGGCCCTCGTGCATCCTTTTCGCTCGGAAGGAGGGGTGGAGCATGCCAAGCTACCCTCGGTGGGCGCGAGCAGTGACATCTCTGGTGAGCTATTATCGGGTTAGTCCAAGTGGAGGCCCGTGCCCCATTCAATAGGGGTTAGCTAGTGGTCTAGAGACGCACTCCAAAAGTACTAGAGGGCTTTTCTAGTGGGTCCCAGGGCCGTTCGATTGGCCCCGGGGGCTCGGCGCCTCCCTATGGTGGGATCCCATTCGGAGACATCCCTACCGGTCTTGGACATGACTTAGGGCTTCTCAAGCACTTGTTTGCTTGGGCATCGGCCATGTACGGGCTTGCCCACAGTCATGCCTGACTCTCTTTGTCCTGGGGTGGCTGTCGAAACCTTTGGGGGGCCCAGCCTTTGAACCCCTGGATCGTAACGGGCTCGGTGCCCTTTTTATCATGTTTTTCCGAGCCTCCGAGTGCGAGCTTAGGTTGCTTGTTTTCGTTCTGGGTGCAGGAAGAGCCCCCGAGCCTCCACACGAAGCGAGAGGGCGGTCAGGAGTTCCCCTGGCTTTTTATGCGACCCTCGCGCATCCTTTTCATTCGAAATGAGGGGTTGTTTGCTGAGCCCTCGAGTGCGAGCCTGGGTCGCTGGGTCTCGGCAAGGTTACAGGAAGAGCCCCGAGCCTCTGACGGAGCGAGAGGCGATCGGAGAGTTCCCTAGCTTTTTGTGTGACCTCTCGCGCATCCTTTTCATTCGGAAGGAGGGGTTGTTTGCCGAGCCCCTCGAAAGCGAGCCTGGGTGGCTGGGTCTCGGCAAGGTTGCAAGAAGAGCCCCGAGCCTCTGCATGGAGCGAGAGGCGATCGGGGAGTTCCCCGGCTTTTGTGCGACCCTCGCGCATCCTTTTGTTCGAGGAAGGAAGGGTTGTTTGCCGAGCCCTCAAGTGCGACCCTAGGTAGGTTTGGGTCTCGACAAGGTTGTTGGGAAGAAGAGCCCCGAGCATGCACTTGACGGAGCGAGAGGGCAATCAGGAGTTCCCCTGGCTTTTTGTGCGACCCTCGCGCATCCTTTTCGTTCGGAAGGAGGGGTAGAATATGTCAGGCTACCCTCGGTGGGCGCGAGCGGTGACACTTCCGGTGAGCTATTATCGGATAAGTCCAAGTGGAGGCCCATGCCCCATTCGATAGGGGTCGGCCAGTGGTCCAGAGACGCACTCCAAAAGTACTAGAGGGCTTCTCTAGTGGGTCCCAGGGCCGTTCGATTGGCCCCGGGGGCTCGGCGCCTCCCTACGGTGGGATCCCATTCGGAGACCTCCCTGCTAGTCTCGGACATGACTTAGGGCATCCCAAGCGATCGCTTGCTCGGGCCTCAACCATGTACGGGCTCGCCCATAGTTGTCCCTGACTCTGTTGTCCTAGGGAGGCTATTGAGACCCTCGGGGGCCCAGCCTTTGAACCCCTGGACCGTAACTGACTTGGCGCCCAGTTCCTTAGTCTAGAAGGAATCGGGTTAGGGGATATTCCCCTCCCATCGGCTGACAACGGCGGGCGTGCCTTTTGAGGTGGTTTCTCGGGACCTGCTGTTGCTGCGGTTGGATGCGACGCGGTGTCAGCGGACAGGACATAACTGTTCGTGCGATTAATGAGGAAAAGGTGGGCGCGTGGGTGGTTAAATCGGATCTAGTTTAACTGTGCCGGATTTGAGGGAAACTTCTCCGATTCCGTCGCCCGTCCGTTTCATCCCCTTCCTGCATAAATACGCAACGAGCCTCGCCCCTTCCCTCCTTACCTTGCCTGCATTCACTTTTGCTGCCCTCGAGCCATTGCTAGGATTAGAGAGCACCGGGGAGAAGAAGGGAGAAGGGGGAGGGAGAGAGAGAGAGAGAGGTTTACCGCCGTAGCAGCATTCTCCACCGCACAATGGCCGACGGCCCTGTCATCCTCTCGGCGGATCCTTGGGATCCGTCCGACGTGTCCATGGAGATGCTGCGGTCGCTCGTCGATGACGGCCTTCTCCGCCCGATCACCGACCCCGATAGGCCGGAGTGGATTGCTCCGTCGGGCGAGCCGAAGCCGAGGCCACACGAAGGGTACGTCGTGAGCTTCGTGTCTTTCCACGAGCGTGGTCTTGGCCCGTCGGTGGACCGATTCATGCGGGCGCTCCCGCATTACTATGGCGTGGAGCCGCACAACTTCAACCCCAACTCCATCGCGCAGGCGGCCATCTTTGTCGCCATCTACGAGGGGTACTTGGGCATTGCCCCCTATTGGGAGTTGTGGCTCCATCTCTTCTGGGCGGGGCATACCACCACGCCGACGGGCACGACGGGTACGAGGAAGACGATGGGGTTGGCGGCTACACTCTCCAGCTGCGCTAAGACCGGTAGCACCTTTACATCCCAGCCCAGCTCGCGTCAACCAATCGCCGCTGGTACACCAGCTGGTTCTACCTCCACAACGATGGCAGCGGACTTTCCCCCTATACCGGGCGAATCGT